ATTAAACGTGTTTTAATGCATTCCTATGGGCTTTTTTGTTCCGTATAGCAACGAATCCACATAGAGACGATTTTTCCAGAACGGATTATCGTCACTATGCGGGGCACCACTGTATATGAAAAGACAGTGGAAAATCTTAAAAATTAAGTGGTGGAAATGCAATTAAAGCCATAAACACAGTTCCAGTAATTAGGTGCCATGGACTACCACAAATGCAGCATATACTAGAGGAGGAAAAAAGAAGCCTAAATGATTATATAACTACACGTAGAGAAAAATTACTGAAGGCGGTGAAAATGGAGAATATTTTTAAAACAACAGAAACAAAGGCTGAATATAAGAAACAACACTTTAAAAATAAATTAAACAATTGAAAAAATAAAAAATAAACCACTACAGGGACAACACAATTCAACATGGGCATGGCTAAAACGGGATCATTGAGAAAGAGATTGAAACCTTGATTTTTGCTGCACAAGAACCAGTGCGCCAAACCAACATGAAAGCTAAGATTTGAGGAATTAGTGTTAATATCTGCGAATGTCCAAAGATTGCACAAACGAATTACAAATTTAGACATGATAGAGTAGCAAAATTAGTGCACTGGTCATTATGCAAATAATATCACTTGCCAGCCTCCAAAAACTCATGGGAACATCAGGTAGGGAAGATGTCAGAAAATGACAAAGTCAAGCTCTTGTGGGATTTCCTGATCTAAAATGATAGACATGTTGAACATACACACACTAGACATAGTAGTAATAGAACATAGAAATGTCTGGATTACAGATGGGATCTTCCCTTCTGTACAAATATATGAAGTTTGGCACCACAGGTGCCACAGAGGTCCATTCCCTCCCCCCAGAACCAGCCTGGTCCACTCACAGAGTGCATGTGTCCATCAGCAGCAATATCACAACAACCAGCTCTGTCCCACCTCTCCAAAGAGCCGACCACTCTGGCAAGGAGGCAGGATGACAAGTTTCCCTGCTCAGCTGTTCAATTATCAGCTGTGTGAGAAGGTGGGGCAGAGCTTGTTGGGATACGAATATGAAGCTCCTATCTCTAGTCTGGATCATTGACATTGCAATTCCAGGGGATGCCAGAGATGAAAATAAAGAATTGGAAAAATGAACAAAGTACAGAGACGTGGCAATCAAAACATCTTGCTTGTGGATGAAACATACTTCAGTGGTCCCTGTAGTCATTAGAGCTTTGGGAACAATGTCAAGGAATTTCACACAGTATTAAAAGCAGTTGCAGATCTCAGAAATAACACATCAGAGTTACCAAAAGCAGCAATATTAGGAACAGTATACATACTGTGCTGATATTTAACAGATACTTAGGTTTTTAGTTAAAACATGTATTATATAATAACAGTCAATGCTTTTATAATTTTGATTGACTGTGCCTGGTGTTTTTAAATAACATACTGTCTAGTCAATTCTGATTTCTGGCAACTCTTTTCAGCAAATCATTGTGTTACTTTCTAAAATCCCAGATCCCTTGAGCCTTCAAAGTTAAAATAATAGAATAATGGCGTTGGGTGTGCAGTCCAACCCCCTGCTCAATACTTCAACTGTCATCTCCTTTAGGTTTTATGGGAAAAAACCACAACAGTTAAATGATGCATTTTTTCTTTCTCTCACCCTACATTCACATGCCAGGTTCAAAAAGGAAACACAGAAGCACATTCTCAAAGGCTTTCTTGTAGCTGAGAAACACTGTTCTGGAGGTTTAATCATGTCCAAGTGTGAAAACATTCTCTTTGGGACCTGGAATTCAGCAGCTTGAGATAAACGGATGTGGCATTGTTTTAAAATTAGTTTGAATCACTAAAATTAGTTTGAATATTTTTGTTGTCATACACCCTTTGTTAACTCATTTAAGTCTTAGGCTAGTGAAATAGAAAGCAACAAACGTACAGTACCAAGATCTCTGTTGGCTGCTGCCTAATTTCAAAAGATAAAGAGGATATTACGGGGCAAAGGGGCCATCTTAACATTTTGGCAGTTGATTAGTACAGATATAGATCTATTAGCTTTCATGTTGGTTTGGAGCACTGGCTCTTGTGCAGCAAAAATCAAGGTTTCAGCACAGCTTCATTTCTTCATGTAACATCTTGTCAGTAATGTAGACTTAAAAAGCAATATGGAATGAACCGTGCTTTTAGGGCCTTTATTTTTCCTGCTGATACAAGATCATTAGGTTAAGATGAGGAAATAACTGTGATTTCTAACTGTTATGGATTGCTTGACATGATAAGGATAGATAATATCTTTCTTAGAGCAAAAAAGACTGACAGTTTGAAGTGGAATGATTGCTCATTTTGTGCATGTGTTCTTCCCACCCCAGCCTAAGAAAATCACAAAGGGTAATTTCTTCCCCTAGTTAGGCAGCATAAAGAAAGTAAAAGTTCTGCTAAGTGAAATCCACTTCAGAGAGTTTCAGTTAGATGTCAATTGTACTGAGATTGTACATCAAGGGCTATGAGTTGCAGATATTCCACATAAACCTATGCCAAGGAATAGTGTTTTCAAGGCCAGCATATAAATTGGTGATTGGGAGGAATAGCAGAGAATCTCCTCATCCTCCCTATCTTCCTTCTGGCTGCCATTCTAAGTAGAGCTAGGCATGGGGGAAAGGAAGAAGTGGCCATTTGGACTGGGCTGAAGAAAGAAAAAGAATAGAGAAAGGCGGTGGAGAGTCAACTGAGGGCAATGTGGAAGGATCCCCTTAAAATGTAGAACCAGCAGTGACAATGTTTGAGTGGGTTCTATCACACTACGTCCGGTGGAAAAAATGGCCCCTTTGGCTCCCATTCACAGCCCTATGAAGTGGATGAGGTGTTGTTTGACCAGTTTTAGAGGTTCCCCACTAATGTACTAATGTAAGTGAGAAATAGCCTGTTTTAGACTAACAGAGAGAGAGAGAGAGAGAAAAGGAATTCAGCCAGAAAGACAGTAAGTGCCTAGCTCTTGTTCAAGAATAACAAATTGGACATTTGAGTCCCTAAAGAGTACCTTACCAAGGGACAAAATAAAACAAACTACATTTTGACTAGGATTTCAAAAGAGATACTTTCTATTTTCTTCTATTAATAAATTCTATATTTTGTTACATTATTTATTCTGACATACTGTCTTGTCATGAAATTCAAGGTGGCACAACCTCCTTGTTTCTTCTGTATTAATTTTTCCATCCATACCATGATTTGCTTTAACCAAGGCATTTAAGTGTATCTGCATTTACAGTTACCCTGGTTAATGCTAACCAGGTTTCCCATAACCAGACAAAGCTACCTGAAGCCCTGGTTTTGAATTTTGATTGTGGATCAATCTTTGTTTGTGATAACCAAGATTAGCCATAAAACAGATATAATACAGATATAATGTGGCACGCTGATTAAAGATAATATCCTTTTAAAATCTTGGAGCAAAATATGTGCATGATTTTCTCCATTCTTGGGAATAAGGGAGAAAAATAAAACATGTTTAAGTAAAATCTACGTTTTATTTTTATGTAATTCAGAGTTTTTCTTCCTTCACTCAAATTAAAATTTTTTTGATTAAGCTAAAGTTTCAGTATGTGGATGTACTCATTTCCCCCCCTCTATTCTCTCTTATAGATGAATGAATTCCAGAACAAAATACAGTCGTTTTTCCCATCAGTTCGCAAAAATACAGTGCAGCCTGTTGAATGGGATGAGATTTTGAAGTCTAAATGAAGAGGACGTGGAGAAATGAATGTTGAACACTTTCAAAATGCATACGTGTGAAATGTGCATGGAAATGTGACTCTGCAAGAAACAGACAAAAAGAGGAAATGGATAATTACAAATATAAGAGCATGGTGTTAGTTTAAAGAGAAGAGTAATACCTTGCTATTTGATTGTTGGTGAAGTTCAGGGGAGAGCTCAGTATGTGTCACTAAAACAAAGAAACTTATCTCAACAGTAGGCATTGATACAATAACTTAACCTGTATTCTTTTTCAGAAGAGATTATAAATTGGAGAGAACAGGTTGCCATTTACCTTTTTACTGAGAGTGGACAGCTACTGCCACCTGGAAACTGTGTGACAGTGGCTCTATCTTACTTTTCTGTTTGGCATACTGCTATATAAGAATGTTAAAAGATGGTTGCAGCGAGTAAAACAGACCAAACATATCGAATGTCTGCCTCTCTCTGCTGGATTTGAACCAGCCATCAGAAGGCAATGCGATTACAAGTTCCCACTGTAATGAAGATGCAAGTTCTTGGTTCATTTCTGACTCTAGGCAGAGCCCAACTAGCTAAAGAGAACACATTAAAGAGGACCCTAAGGATGATCAGCTTTCTCTAATGTCTTTAGTGGAGCAGAACTCTGAGAGGGCAATTGTGTGCTCTCTGGATCAAGCATTTGCATCCTCTTGCGTTGTTATGATTGGGAATGACATGGTACTTTGCTGTTGTTTCTGTTCATGGGGTTTTCTTGGCAAATATACTGAAGTGGCTTGCCAGTTCCTGCTCCTGGTGGATCGCGTTTAGTCAGAACTCTCCACTGTGACCTGTCCATCTTGGGTGTCCCTGCACAGCATAGCCCATAGCTTCTCTGAATTACTCAAGCCCCTTCACCACGACAAGGCAGCAATCCATGAAGGAGTCCATGGTACTGAATTTTCAACAAGGACATGGTACTTTACTGCTTGTTTATTGCTAAGGACACTGAGATGACATGAATGAACAGTGACATTCAGGGATTTATCCCAGTATATGAGACAGTGATGGCAGAGATGGAGGTGAAGAATCCCATTCATCTTAAACTATCATAACATGTAGTGGGGGCTGGGATAAGAGTAGTCAGTGTTATGTAGGAATGGCTACATAACATTTGCTACTAGAGATGGGCACGAACTGTGGTTCGGCCTGGTTTAGTGCTTCACCCACACAGGTATTCTATGGGCAATGCACACTCCCTGCTTCCTCTGTGTGCTTGCCTACTCACTGGTTGCAACGCACTTCCTTCCTCTGCCTTCTCTGCATGATCATCCACTCACACGAGGAAGTGGGGCAGGGAAGCCCATGGCACTGCTGATTAGTGGACAGTTGTGCAGAGAAGGCAGAGGAGGGAAGTGGGCTGCAGGTGGTGATCACACACAGGAAGTGGGGCAAGGGAACGTGTTGTGCCCGTGAAGCACCTGTGTGGGCACCACACTGAACTGGGCCAAACCGCTGAAGCTCTGTTCATGCCCTTCTCTGTTTGCTATCCATGACTAGTAAATGCCACCCCTTGCCAAGTATGTCCCGAAATAGATAAAAAGTGGATTAATAGGCAGTGAGTCTGTTTTGCAGCCTCTCAACTCAGACAGAACTAGCTTGCCTAGGAAATTGTGGGGAAAATCTGCTCAAAGAAGATTTCTTTGTCAAAATAAGACTAAATGACCAACAGTTATAAGGGGAGTATATCCTGAAATGCCTCCCTGAAGGGCAAAGATTTTTTTTAATGTGTTTCCTGAACATTAGGAGGGAAGGGGCCTTGTACACCTCCACATGTAGAGTATTCATCCATGTACCTACATAGTGCTAGATTTTCAACAATTGCCCTTTCAGGCCATACACCCTCCCCACAGTCTTCCCCAGTGGGCCCAACCAACCCTCCAGAACAGGTTTGTGGAGCAGAGGGAATTGCCAGAAGAAGGAGAAATCACCAAAGATCATATCTCTCTTCATCATGCTGACAAGCTTTGGCTGAGCAGAAAGAAGCTACTTCCATTTCCTCTTATATTTCTACACCAAATTTTGTACTCACTCAGGAAAATTGTAATCTGTGTTGCTGTCTTTATTAGAAGAAGAGATGGACAGTGTTTCTTGCGACAGATCTGTTGTCATTTTCACTGATCTGACTGAGAATTCCAAGTAGGCCCATCAGGCAAAAATCCAAAGAAACAAAACTAAACAAAATAAGACAAAAATATGTGGCACCTTAAAGACTATTGTATTTTAATGTAAACTTTCATGGACATATCCACTTCATCAGACATATGGAAACAGAATGAAATGTTAAATGAAATCACAAATAGAATGTTCTAAATAACCATTGGCTCTTGGGTGTACAGTATATCTCTCTGCAGTAATTAATGGCCTATGTTGTTTTAGGGTACTGTTGTAAACGAATAATTCATCTTATTTTGTTTCTTTGGATTTTGTCTGATATGCTTGCACAGACTAACATGCTACCTCCTCTAAATAGGTACTGTATGTGGATATATGTCAACAGTGAAATGAGTATGCATCAGTACATGAAGATTTCAAAACTATTTGAAACATTCTTTTTGTTTTGTTCCGTGTCTTTCCATATTGTTAAATTAGTGGGCTGGTGCATTTAAAGACGATAATGCCACAGATGAATATACCCAATCATGGGAAAATAGGAATGACAACAAGTTTCAACATTACTTATTTTTACTGTCATTAAGGCAAATCAGATTAATGTCTTGGAACATTTAGGCTGCATATCTATACCCACTTTCTTGAGAATAAGTTCAACCAAACTCAGTGGAATTTTTTCTAGCAGACCTATGCAGATTTGCCCTAGAAATTACATTCACCCTGTTAATCAGGAAAAAGTTTTCCCAGCCTTAAAAAAGAGCAAACTACACATACTCATATAAGCAATCCAGTTAATTGCCTCGAAGTGCAAGAAACTGAAGGTACTTTCCTGATCAGATATGTAAAAACATTACAGGAATTTTAAATATCTGTATTTAGTATACTAAGGTCATTTTAAATCTTTAAATTACAAGTGTCAGTGTACAAAGGCTCTTCTGTTTTTGAGCAGAAGAAAATAGACACCAAGAAAATTTTTACACTGAGTTTTCCATGCATGTAAAATGCAGAACATTTTCTTGGGCCATTATCACTGTCATGTGGAGTGTTTTTTTTTTAACTAAATAGAGAACAGATCAATTTATTGAACTTTAAGTGGGCCATCTGTTCTCATTTGACCCTGAGCTGTTCCACATATAGTTGGAAATCAAGACTATAGTAATAAGTAATTCTGGTTCACACATCTACCTAACACAAGGCCACAAATATTTAATGGGAAGGACAGTAGCTCAGCGCAAGACCTCTATAGAGCTGTGGTGATTCAGTTGTTGAGATACCCAGTGTAATGTAGTGGACAGAGTAACAGACTAGAACTCTGGGGCTTGGATTCAAATCCTTGCTCATCCATGGAAGCTCACTGGGAGTGTGAAACTGGTAAACCCACTCCTTAAATATCTCACTTACCTTGAAACCCATATTAGGTTCCAGCTTGACAGCACATAACAATTCATGTCTGAAGCATGTGCTTTGTGTGTGTGTGGTTTTTTAAAAATCTTAGGGTCACTCTACCATTTGTTGTGAAAAGAATCTAAAGTGGTAAGGGAGATCAATACCTGAGAAACCTGCACTGTTTCACATTCTGAGGTTGCACTATTAAGCGGAAAGCTAGCAGTAGAGGGTAAGGGCAGAAGCAGTGCGCCTGCCTAATCCTTCCCTTCCACATTTTTTTCTAGAGAAAATTGCCATCCAATTTGATTTTACTGTAAAATAAGAGGTTATGGTAAAGGTTCTCCTTGACATTTAGTCCAGTTGTGTCTGACTCTAGGGTGCGGTGCTCATCCCCGTCTCCAAGCTGTAGAGCTGGTGTTTGTCCATACACAGTTTCCATGGTCACATGGCCAGCGCGACTAGACATGGAATGCCGTTACCTTCCCACCGAGGTGGTACCTATTTCTCTACTTGCAGTTTTACATGCTTTCAAACGGCTAGGTTGGCAGGAGCTGGGACAAGCGGTGGGAGCTCACTCCATCGTGTGGATTCGATCTTACGACTGCTGGTGGTCTGGCCTCACAGCACAGAGGCTTCTGTGGTTTAACCCGCAGTGCAACCACGTCCCCTGTAAAATAAGCTCTCTGGATATGCTCACCTCTTCCCTTATGACAGGTAAAAGCAGTTTTGTGATTTTCAGTAGACAAGCACCATGCAGTTGAAATGTCTCCCCACCCCAATACACACTATCTGTCTTCTGTTTCCATTTGCAGTGTTGGTTTATCTACTCACCTCTAAAATATGTAATCTCAGAACTAATGTGGCACATAGTTCTATCACAAGAGGTGAAGCCAGAGGAGATAGCACTTAGCTAGATGATGCAAGTCACCTTCACCAATTAGGCATAGGACTTTTGTTTCTTTTGAACTACAGTGCCCAGAATTCATTCAGGCAGAATCCTGGGACATGCATCCCAAAAACAGTAGTTAAAGCAAAGCTTTCTTACCTCTGTATGGGTTTCTGTTGCCATTACATTGGTCTTTCAATAATAATGAAACTAGTCTCAGAAGTACACGAGAGAAGTAAGGATTCATGTGACTGTAGTTCATTGATATCTAGTAGTCTATAAAAGCTTATATTAAATATAACTTGTTAACTTCCAAGGGGCTACAAAACTGTTTTGATCTGTCTCAGGTCCTGTTTCACAGCAGATTTGATCTAAGAAATTATCAAGGGAGTCCTAAATCAAATTATACCTGTATGAGGTCTTTCAATAATAATGAAACTGCTCCCAGAAGTGCATGAGAGAAGTAAGGATTCATGTGACTGGTAGTTCATTGATATCTAGTAGTCTATAAAAGCTTATGTTAAATAAAACTTGTTAACTTCCAAGGGGCTACAGAACTGTTTTGATCTGTCCCAGGTCCTGTTTCACAGCAGATTTGATCTAAGAAATTATCAAGGGAGTCCTAAATCAAATTATACCTGAATGATCTCTGGAGGCAAAAATGTTTAAACTGAGGCTGTTCTACTTTGGACACATCATGAGAAGGAAAGATTATTTGGAGAGAGAAAAACAATGCTGGGAATGACTGAAGGAAGCAGGAAAAGAGGAATACCAAGTACAAGATGGACTGACCCCCTAAGGGAAGCCACAGGCTTGAGTTCACAAGAGCTGAGCAGGGCAGTTTAGGGCATGATATTTTGGAGATTGATCATTCATAGAGTCACCGTAAGTTGGGGGTGACTTGGTGGCACATAACAACAGCAGCATCACGTACATTTAGCTTCTACACCACATCACCTATTTACCCATTTTTGACTTTGAGAATAAGGTTCCACAGTATAAATATAAAACCGTGGCACCCAGGCCTATAATGAGGGTAGGGCAACCATGATTAACTATCAGGGTGCCAAGTTTAAAGGAGACAGCAGCTACCTATCCTTTGTTCATCTTTCCATAAGCTAAATATACTGTCAAATGTGCACCCCATTCCTACTCCGTCACCCGTGGGAGGAAAGAAAGCACTGGTTCCCATTATGATCTTCTATATTCCTGAGAGGAGAATAATTCAAGCCGACCTCCAGAGAAACAGCAGGACACAACCACCAAAGTTCCTGAATCAGGAGGTTCACCCTCTGCAGGTCCTTCACTTAAATGGTGGTCCCAAGAGGAGAGCCTCAGAAGCAAGACATGATGGGAAGAGTA